GATTTTCATTGCATGTTTGCATTTATTGCACAAATCTTGTCTGTGTCTTAAATATACATCCTATTTATATTTCTGAAGATAGTTTTATTTTAATTAAGTATCAAATGAGTTAGGTTTAACTGCTAATCATGAGATACACATCAATTAGTCTGACGAAGTGGGTATTCACCCACAAAAGCTTATGCTCCAATACAGCTGTTAGTCTTAAAGGTGCTTCAGGACTCTCTGTTGCTTTTTAGAACTGGAGATATTGAACATTTCAAAATTAGCTTTTTTTCCCCCCATTACCATTTCCACTACCTCATCCTATGAAATTCGTTCTTGTTTGAGTTCTGAGATTCTGTATCTGGTTCTGTCTCAGGCTGCTTTATCTACAAAGCATATTACTGGTGAAATAAAACTGAGATTGAAAACTGCTACTGTATCTTTACCCAGGCATTTTACGGTAGTCAATTCATCAACCTTGCTTAGCAGAGGTGCTCTTCTGCTAGTTTAGACCATGCCCTTAACCAAAGTTCAGTAAGCTAAATGGACAATCATCATAGTCAGGAGAAACTGTGACTGTTCAAAGTAGTCATGGCAGTGACTGAATAAAACAAAATGCTATTCTGACCGCTAGAAACTCTACACAGTACTTGTAAAAATGGAGTTCTGTACCTTTAAGAGTAGGTTCACAGACCGAAGACAAAAATGTCAAACATAGATTAAGCACCCAGCAGATGGCAGACTAGTTCCAACAACAGGCAGTCAGCCTTTCCAACTCCTCTCCTACCAAATGAAATTGTTGAGAGAATAGGAAGTCTTACTCAGCGTTGGATGTTGATTTTCAATGTATGTAAATCATTCTTTTGAAACAGAGACACATTTCAAAAGTTAGCACGCACGCAGACACATCAACAACCAATAATGGACCCTAAGCAAAGGACCTCCCAAAATAACTAAAGGAAACCCAGGACGCAGGGTGCTCAACAAGTGTTTTTAGTTAAAGATCATATGTATTATTGAAAACATTTAATTGCACTTAAATACTGAGTCTATACACGGAACGAGTGGCTTTTACATAAAGCAGTACTGTTTAAAGTATTACGTTCCCATATGCACAGACAAAGGAAGGAGGCATGCGCGGTTGACAGTTGTCAAAACAGGCAGCAAACAATATGGTGAGTGAGTCCTTCTGATCTGTAGATAATGACCAAAAGACAGATCTGTTGGATGGGAGGCTCTGCTTTGGGTAGCACAGGTTGCAGTACATTGTGTAGCACAGACCGCAAGCTGTCGTTTGGGGGGGGGGAGTTAATTTTGGTCTTTAGCAAATACTTGAGGGCAAATCTTCAGCAGCTGGTGTCAATCGAGTAGCACCATTTCTTTCATGCCGGAGGTGAGGCTCTGGTTCGTGGTTTTCATTGAGGGGCTGTGCAGCCCTTACATGGATGAGACAAGCGTGAGTGGTGCTCTGGAGCAAGAGTACAATCTCTCCCCAAGGGGGAAGCGGGCTAGAAGCAGCAGATTTCGATGCGCATAGGTGATTCCAATGACGTAAATCAGGGAAAGA